ATATGACCAAGTTGCGAAAACAAGGTCAAACAACTTCTATTCAATGAAAGGAGACTGCGACCACACAAAAGGCCACACCATCTTGGTCTTCATATCTTCGATCAGTACAATTAGTGTTTTTTGTGTAAAATGAAACTATGTGATTAGATGCGCCTGGCGTGTAACGAAAATAACCTTTTTAGTATGAAAAAGTGTAGCGCTGTCATTCGTATTCATTTGGGGCTAATTTATTTGTACAATTTTTATTTTAGCTAGCTTTGAGGTAGATGCCCTCAGTATGTGTTCTTAAAATACTTTCAATTTTCTTTCGTGATTTTCCTTCTTGCATGTGCACTGCTGACTTTGTTGCCTTAACCATATGTTATATCCTCAAGTTTGTAGTTCAGGGAGCAAGAAATGTGTGAGTTCTTTGTATTAAGTTTATTGATTGGCAACATGTGTTACTATTTGTCAAGTTCGGCTAACTTATTATTAATATATCATAGTAAATATTTTAATACTTTTTTCGCTGTCATGAACTTTAATCATTATATCATTTTAAACTGTTTGTCTAGATCTGTATTTCCCGGGCACCAGCAATACTGCCACCGTCTCCCAATGTAAAATCCCTCGGGGTGAGCTGATGGAGGTCATCCAAACCGTAAAAGGTAAATATCTTCGTCTGCCTCGGACTGGTGATTTGTTCATAGTCAAATCGAATACTCCTGCCTCTAATCCCAATGAAAGCCCTTCTGTTTCCACTACTGAAGCCTCCTCGTCTTCAATGACTATTGTTGCAGATGCCTCGGCTGCCGAAACAGTTTCCGTAATGTCGACCGGCACCCGTCCTACTGTCGCTATGCCTAACTCTCTTGAGCAAAGTATTGACTCTTTAAATAATGAGGTTCCAAATGCACAATCATTGCAGGACGAGCAACAAACACAACAACAGACACTTCTGCAACATAATTTGCCCAATCAACTTGAGCACCAGCGGCAGCAATTGCTAAACCATCAGAATCAGCAGCAACAGGTGCAGCAACAACAACAGTTACAGCAGCATCAACAGCAATTCCTTCAACAACAAACCGCAATCTCTTCTCAGTCTACAACTCGACAACCGATTGCTCAAGGGCAATCTCAAGATTCACTGACCACAGAAGATTTTATCAGTCAGCATCAACATAGCGCTCCTCAAACCCAGTCGCTTCATTCACAGCCGCAGCAACAACAACAACTGGAACAACAATCAGAAAAACAACATCCTCAACAGATTTCCCAAAATAGCACTATACAGTCACATAGCTCTCTGCAGACTTCCCATTCAAGCGCTTCCCGAAGAAAAACAGGGGCTAGCGGAATCGCCAGATCTCGAAGGACCAAAACAACTCCTGCCACAGGTGTGAACGCCCTTAACTCTCCGGAAACGAGCGCAGGCACTGCTGGCCCTGACGATTCAGCTGTTGTGCGTCATCCACGGACTACAGAAGAGCAACTAGTCGGTGTGGCTGCAGCTGCTGCGGCTGCTATGACTGCAACTCATTT